GCCTCCCTTCCTTCAAATAGGCCCTCCCTAGAGTTATCTTTCTGTGCAAGATTGGGGGGAAGATTGTCATGCTAAGAAACAGCTGACCCAAGTTGGCATGCTGAGAGTTTTTTCCAGCAGCAAAAGAAACGTCCCTGATAGAGTGTTTGAGTAAGTCAACAGTGTGTTGACTTTTTCCAGTAAGAATTTCAAGCCTTTCTCTTGAATCTTAAACCAGACCCACCTCTGCTGGCTCCCTTCTTATAAAAGCTCTTATTCTTTTCAAACTTCAGTTTGTAAAAAGAGTTCATCAGACCGAATTTATGATGAACACCGCAATCTGGAACATATGTGCTGGACCTCACAGCGTTTGGCACTTTGCCCATGCCTCTTGAGTTTCTGAACAGCCTGGTGGGGTGAGAATTGTTACTAACATATGAGCCCAAGGCTCAAGGGAGCGTAGGCACATGGTGGTCATGAAATTTGATTGGTTCTATTGACACGGAGCCTGAAGCACTCCAGGTCACAAGGCTTTCCAAGAGTGGACGGACTGTGAATATCCTAAAGCAGCTCTGGGTTTAATAATTTTGTCATCATATCAGTGGGAGGGAGAATATAGGGGTTCCCTGGAATGTGGCAATCTTGACTGCACTCAGGAATTCTCAAAGCGTGGATCACCAAACCACCTGCCTCAGAATCACCTGGGGTACCATTTCAGATCCCTGACTCAGCATCGAGGGAGCTGGCTCTGAATCCATGAGCACAGCAAGCATTTCAGGTGATGATTGGGAGTCTGCTTTCTGTGGAGCAAGGGGACGAGTCATGTTACTCTCTGGATGTGATTGACGTTAAGAGACTGGCTTGTTTTTTGACCATATACTGTATTTTATCTCATTTTTATTGTTTTAAATTGAAGAGTAGATGATTTACAATGCTGTGTTAGTTTCAGGTGTACAACACAGTGATCCAGCTATATATTCTTTTCCCGATTATCTTCCCTAAATTATTATAAAACACTGAGTATAGTTTCCTGTGCTATACTGTAGGTCCTTGTTGTTTATCTATTTTATACATAGATATACCCATTTGAGTGCAGAGTTCCAAAGAATAGCAAGGAGAGATAAGAAAGCCTTCCTCAGTGGCCAGTGCAAAGAAATAGAGGAAAACAATGGAATGGGAAAGACTAGAGATCTCTTCAAGAAAATTAGAGATCCCAAGGGAACATTTCATGCAAAGATGGGCTCAATAAAGGATAGAAATGGTATGGACCTAACAGAAGCAGAAGATATTAGGAAGAGGTGGCAAGAATACACAGAAGAATTGTACAAAAAAATCTTCACTACCCAGATAATCACGATGATGTGATCACTCACCAAAAACCAGACATCCTGGAATGTGAAGTCAAGTGGACCTTAGGAAGCATCACTATGAACAAAGCTAGTGGAGGTGATGGAAGTCCAGTTGAGCTAGTTCAAATCCTAAAAGATGATGCTGTGAAAGTGCTGCAGTCAATCTGCCAGCAAATTTGGAAAACTCAGCAGTGGCCATAGGACTGGAAAAGATTAGTTTTCATTCCAATCCCAAAGAAAGGCAATGCCAAAGAATGCTCCAACTACTGCACAATTGCACTCATCTCACACAGTAGTAAAGTAATGCTCAAAATTCTCCAAGCCAGGCTTCAGCAATACGTGAACCATGAACTTTCAGAGGTTCAGTCTGGTTTTAGAAAAGGCAGAGGAACCAGAGATCAAATTGCTAACATCCATTGGATCATCGACAAAGCAAGAGAGTTCCAGACAAACATTTATTTCTGCTTTATTGACTATGCCAAAGCCTTTGACTACGTTGATCGCAACAAACTGGAAAATTCTGAAAGAGGTGGGAATACCAGACCACCTGACCTGTCTCTTGAGAAATCTGCATACAGGTCAGGAAGTGAGAGTTAGAACTGGACATAGAACAATAGACTGGTTCCAAATAGGAAAAGGAGTATGTCAAGGCTGTATATTGTCACTGTGTTTATTTAACTTATATGCAGAGTACGTCATGAGAAACACTGGGCTGGATGAAGCACTAGCGGGAATCAAGATTGCCAGGTGAAATATCAATAACCTCAGATATACAGATGACACCACCCTTATGGCAGAAAGTGAAGAGTAACTGAGGAGCCTCTTGTTGAAAGTGAAAGAGGAGAGGGAAAAAGTTGGCTTAAAGCTCAACATTCAGAAAACTAAGATCATGGTATCCGGTCCCATCACTTCATGGCAAATAGATGGGGAAATAGTGAAAACAGTGAGAGACTTTATTCGGAGGGCTCCAAAATCATTGTAGATGGTGACTACAGCCATGAAATTAAAATATGTTTACTCCTTGGAAGAAAAGTTATTACCAACCTAGACAGCGTATTAAAAAGCAGAGACATTACTTTGCCAACAAAGGTCCATCTAGTTAAGGCTATGGGTTTTCCAGTATTCATGTATGGATGTGAGAGTTGGACTATAAAGAAAGCTGAGCGCCGAAGAGTTGATGCTTTTGAACTGTGGTGTTGGAGAAGACTCTTTTGGAGAGTCCCTTGTATTACAAGGAGATCCAATCAGCCCTGAATATTCATTGAAAGGACTGATGTTGAAGCTGAAACTCCAATACTTTGGCCACCTGATGCAAAGAGCTGACTCATTAGAAAAGATGCTGATGCTGGGAAAGATTGAAGGTGGGAGGAAAAGGGGACGACAGAGGGTGAGATGGCTGGATGGCATCACCGACTCAATGGGCATGAGTTTGAGTAAACTCCATGAGCTGGTGATGGACAGGGAAGTGTGGTGTGCTTCAGTCCATGGGGTTGCAAACAGTTGGACACGACTGAGTGACTGAACTGACTGATGTATTAATCCCAAACTCCTAATTTAAGGACTTAATTGTTTTGAAGCTCCATTTATGGGGCTAGGGAGGATGACATGTGGAGTGATAATTCTGTTACCTCCCCCTTCATTTTTGGGGGAGTAAATATTTTCTTACCTCTATCTGTCCCAGCTTACCTCAGAAGAATAGTGGCTGATGTGGAGATAGATATTAGTTGACTTTTCTAAAGTCCTGTAAACCTTGTCCAAGTATCTCAATATGAGGATAAAGGTGAGTCCCAGTTTTGGCTCATCTGCAGCTGACAGCCTAGTGTACAGATTTCTCTTCTCCATGTAGAGTCAGAAGGAAACAGTCTCTTCATCTCTCCATCCATCCTTCTATCCATCCATCGATTGATTTATTGGTTCAACATGCCCAATTTTTATATGCCTGTTGCTTGGTGTGTAAGGAGAATAAGACACGGTCCTTGTGGGGACAAGTCTAGTTTAGATATGAGCAGAAGTGTAGGAAGAATGGATCTTACAGTGGCCAATTTCACAGACATTTGAGGTGGCATTGAATACGAGATGTTAAAAAAAGAAAGAAAAATAAAAAAGTTATCATAGGTAATGCAGAGAAGCTTTGCATGAAGGACAAAAGGCAAATATCTTTTTATATTATATAGTTCTTCAAAATTCAGAGTTCTCTGTATTTCAGTGCTTGCTTTGAGATAAATCTGTGGATTATCCTGCAGTGGGATCCTTGCTCATCCAGAGGTCAGTACTCAGAGGTCAACACCAACGCATTAGCGATCATCTATAACCATTCATGCAACTTATTCTGAGCCTTTAACTTGAAACTATGACTTCAAGGAAAACTCTAAGTAAGAACATCCAAGAAACATTTTTTAGCTTTAATCTCTGGTTCCAAAGTGTGGGGAGGCCATTGACTTACAAGAAAATCCTATTTTTCTTCATAGAAAGTCTGTTGTTTTAATATTTTTCTAATGACTTACATCTAGTAAAATAGCACACATTTACACTGAGATGCTACCCAAGCACCCAGAGTTGAGTGACAGACTTTCTTGAATAGCAATTCACACTTAAACAGATCAACTTAAACATTTTGTTATAAAATTAATTTTTAAATTTATGCTTAATTAGAGGATAATTGCTTTACAATATTGTGTTGGTTTCTGCCGTATATCAACATGAATCAGTCATAGGTATACATATGTCCCCTCCCTTTTGAAACTCCTTCCTACTTCCCAAACTGTCCCACCCCTCTAGGTTGTTACAGAGCATGGGGTTTGAGCTCCCTGCTTCATACAGCAAATTCCCATTCACTATCTGTTTTATATACGGTAATTTTTGAAAATTTTGTTTCCAAGCTACTCTTCCAGTTTGTCCCACCTTCTCCTTCCCCCACTAAGTCCATAAGTCTGTTCTCTATGTCGGCATCTCCATTGCTGCCCTACAAATAGAGTCATCGGTACCATCTTTCTAGAGTCCATATATATGTGTGTTAGTATGTATTTGTTTCTCTCTCTCTGACTTACTCCTGTTATAGACTCTAGGTTCACCCACCTGATAGAGCTGACTCAAATGTGTTCCTTTTCATGGCTGAGTAATATTCCTTTGTATGTAGTACCATATCTGCTCTATCCACTCATCTGTTGATGGACATTTAGTTTTCTTCCAGTCTCAGCTATTGTGGCTAGTGCTGCTGTGAACAAAGGGGTGCATGTTTCTTTTCAAATTAGAGTTTTGATCCAGCAATCCTACTCCTGGGCATGTATCTGGTCAATAAGCATTTCTTGAGTAAGTAAATGGTATCAGGGCATGGAAACCACTGTTCCAACCTTAGGGAGTGGCCCAGCCCAGCTTATCCACCTCTTAGGAATGTTAGAGGTGTTGACCAGAGAATGTTTGGACTGTGTTACTAGGCAGGTATATGTTGGTAGCAATAAATGGATGAGACAGTAATGGAAGATACTGTAGAACATTGAATAATCACACTGAAGGGAACTTGGCCTTTGACATGTGGCTGTAGCAGATCCAGTAGTTACAACATTGTCGGAAAATGTAATCTAATTTATAGTGTGGCAGATTCAGTGATTACATACCCTTGACAATGGCAAGCATCACTAAAATACATATTTTTTTCTCCTTTCTACCTTATAGACAGTATTGATAAACCAGGTACATCATTGCCTACCTGGGCCATAGTTCTACTTGCTGTGTCATTGTTATTGCTTTTGATCCTCATCATTGTTCTGATTATAATATTATGCTGCTGTGTCTCCAGGACAGAGAAAGAAGGTAATTTACTTTTGTTCACATAGATTTGTGTTTTCTAATTTTTGGTACAAGCATTTGTAGTTCATTAGCTCATCCACTAGTCTTTCAAAAGATACATTGGCTTTTTTTGGAAAGAAGCCTGAGCCAACCCTTCAAGGGAGACAGATCTTCACACCCTGAGAAGGTTAAGAGATGGTTGTGTGTTTATTTGCAAGGTGTGTGTGCTCAGTCATGTCCAACTCTTTGAGACCCCATGGACTGCAGCCTGCCAGGCCCCTGTGTCCGTGGAATTTTCCAGGCAAGCATACTGGAGGGGATTGCCATTTCCTACTTTATTATTTGCAAGGATATAAGGCTACTTTGATGTGTCATTCAGATGCTACGCTTTTTTTTCTTTCTAAAATAATATCTACCTATCTGAGCACATCAAAAGATTATTTTCTATTTTGTAGGATTCTGACTCTCCTTTTCTAGGTGAATATCGATGCAGTGGTAGAAAGAAAAACATGGTCTTCTGTTAATAAAAATAGTACAAATAAAATTAATAAATATATGTACACATCTCCTAAATGAAATCTTTGAGATACTCCAAGATATGTGAAGGCAGTGGCCTTGTTTGGGGGCAGGCTCAACCTACGGATGAGTTAATCAATGTTGGGGTGGGAGTTAGTTCATGATTTTGTAAACCACAGGCACTTTGTTGTGTGGGTTCAGGACTACCCAAGTGTTGAATGTGTGTCTATCTTTGTCTTTCTTTCTCTCCTAAAACCTCCAAATACTCCTATTTGAATATTTGAATTTTTTTTTTTAAGTCAGAGGTTTGATGTTTGGCTACATGTCAGTTTGATTGTACTGTTAATTTTGCTAGCACGAGGTGATTTGATGAGCACTTTCTGCATGTCTGCCAGGCACCATGTTATCTACCTCTTTTACTTGGAATTGCTCTCTTAGTGAGATATTTCACATGACGTCCATTGTCCTGCCTTCACTAGGCTACTTGCCTAGATTTAGCTCCTGCATGGGTTCAGTTTGCCCTTGGAGAATTACTTCTGTGCTATACCTTTATTCAGGCTTTTGTGGTGGCTCAGTCACCTGCCAATGCAGGAGACACGGCCTCGATCTCTGGGTTGGGAAGATCCCCTGGAGAGAGAAATGGGAACCCATTCCAGTATTCTTGCCTGGAGAAGTCGATGGACAGAGGAGCCTGGCGGGCTACAGTCCATGGGGATGCAAAAGAGTTGGACTTAGCAACTAAACAATGACATACTTTTATTCTCTAGGAAACAGAAATGAAAAGTAGTGAACCCCTGTTGACCCATATTCGATGGAAATTTGTTTTTCCTTGGGAGTTTTCCTGTATGTCACAGATAAATTATTAATCCCACTGAATTTTAATGGAAACTATGGATAACTTTAATTTTAATTCAGAACAGACTAGGATTGCTTGTTGCCTTCAGATTATTATTTTTGACATTAGCTATTGTGGTATGGTTGAAGAACATTCTGGTTATTTGGACTTCTGCATCTCCTAGGCTTTTGTCTGCTCCACATCAGCCTAATGAGAAGGTCTGGTCCACATGGGTTGTGTACCCAGAGATCCTCTGATTCTTAGTTTCCTCATTTACAAAATGAGGATAAGTCCTATCCTAGAGATTGGTTGCTGCTGTTGTTGTTGTTGCTAAGTCGTGTCTGACTCTTTGTGACCCCATGGACTGTAGCCCACCAGGCTCCTCTGTCCGTGAGATTTCCCAAACAAAAATACTGGAGTAAGTTGCCATTTCCTCCTCCAGGGGATCTTCCCAACTCAGGGATCAAACTCACATTTCTTGCTTTTACAGATGGATTCTTTACCACTGAACCACCATGGAAGCCCAGAGACTGGTTAGGAGAATTAAATAAATTAACATAATAAACGTTTATGTGATCTGTCCTAGAGTTTATTGCTTATTTATCTCTGAAAAGCTGATCCACAATGGACACTACACTTCACCTTGACATAAACATAGAGGATCCCTCAAAGTCTTGGATTCCACATGATAATTATTTCCATGCTTAAAACTGTTAAAATTCAAGGATTTAAACAAGTATTTTAGGGAAACTTCCCTGGTGGGTCCAGTGGTTAAGACTCCGTGCTCCCAATGCAGGTGGCACAGGTTCAATCCCTGGTTGGGGAGCTAAGATCTTGCATGCCACATGGTGTGGCCAAAAAAATAAGTAAATAAAAACAAAAAAAATATTTTCTGGTGCTCTGCTTTTTTGGTGCCTGGAGAATTCTCAGTGCTCTGCCTGGTTTCTGGGGACTGACTGAGGATGCCTGGGGACCCCACTGCATGGCCTGGAGGCTTTGGGAATCCATGCTTCTAGAGCAGTGGGCCCAGGGGTCCCTCTCCTTCAGACTGAACCTGACAGGAACACAACGGCAGCCTCTATCACCACGGGGAGACCAATCTCTCCCCTTCAACTCAGATGAGATTGCTTCTGAGGTTCAATTTGAGGTGTCCATCAGCAATGTTGTTAGAACTTAAAATAAGTGAGAACATTAGCCAAAAAATAAGGAAAATGAATATTTTTTGGATCTTGATAAAGCAAGATGCATAGAGGCACTAGATAGGAACGTGAAGATGCAAAGCACATTGTTTTTAGCACCAGATGGGCTGGGTCTATTGTGGGGGCTCTGTTACTACCCATGTTGAAATGCTAGATTCCTTCCAGCCCAAGAATCCATTGACTAAAAACACTAGCAATTTAACACGAGCTTTTGAGGGGTGGGCAGAACTGTATGAATTGATACTACTGGTACATATTGGCTGAAAATGTATTTTAGAATGAAGAACTATAATGCTTAAGCAATGTAATTCCTTATCTGTTAAAAACATAGTTATACTTGTGCAATAGTATCTAGTTTGTTTAAAATATGATAATGCTAGCACTCACCTCTTGGATTGTTGGAACGATTAAAGGAAATAACAGCTTGCATAGCCCTGGCATGATGTCTGGACAGGTAAGCACTGAATGACTGACAGCAGGGTCTGGGAACAGAGTCCTCATGGTGAACAAATGGAGTCTCTATAACCCCAGGAATCAGATTCAGTGCTCACTAAGTACATACTGGGCACCTACTGTATTTCAGGGACCCAGGCATCATAAATACTTCTATTTATGATAGTGAACACTGAATTCTACATTCCTTATGTTTGAGGTCATTTGATAGTTCACTGCTGGGGACTAAATACCTATTGGATCACAAACACTCAGTATTGTGAGCACTTAAGATCAGGGGGCCTATAAAAATTGATGCGATTTTATTTTCAGATAACTACCCTGATTTTGCTAATGTAATTTTGTTCCTTTTCTTTCTCTTTTTGCAGAACCTAGTTATCAAAGTGAAATAAGGTAAGTCTACGATTACGTCAATTTCCTGAAAATAAAAACAAATGAAAACCAACCCACACACACAGCTGTGGGATTTTAGGACTATATTACGCAAAATAAGGCACTAAAAGTGGACAACTCTGAAAAACACCTATGCCAGTCACCAATTCATAGGGCGATATTAACTGTAGAATAAAATAGGTGGGTTCCTACTGCCTATGTTTGACTTGCTCACTTAGGAAAGTGGAGTAGATTTTTACTTGGTGTCTGGCATTTGCCACTCTTTCCACAAGAGGACACTCTGTACCATGACTGGTGCCCTCTTGCTTTAAGTCATGGTTGGGGATCTGAGGACCATTTTAAGAATCAGGCAGAGGTTCTACTGGAACTTCCAGGTCAGTGGAGACAGTGAGACCAGCTGGGTTGCTTAAGGCAATGAAGCTGACTAGGCAGATAGGTTAGGAGTGTTCGCTGCTCACCAACCCCCCTCCTCAGGGGGAGGGATGGAGACATTCCTGCCCTTCTCACAGCTGTCCAGATATAGCTGCAAGCATTTTTAAGGTAACTACATCAAGGACTTATAATAAACAGTTTAAATGTCTGCAATATTTACATAATTATAAATGCAGTCAAGGGAGGAATTTCTAGACAGTGGTGGTTTTGTTGGGAGTGTTAAAACCACATCTAGTTTTCAGTATCTTATTAGACAATTTTCATATGCATAATGCTGCAATTTAAAATATCTTCTGGCTACATGTGGTGAAGGAAGTTGTATGTAATCATCATTAGCTCATGAATGAACATCCTTTCAGGTAAATATTTGCACATACCCTTGCTTATTTCCCTTGCTTGATAATCAATTCTTAGTGGTAAAGCATAAATATTTAACAATCTTTGGACATCTACTGCCAAACTTCCTTCCCCTGGGACGCTGCACCAATTTTTGCTTTATTTCAGAGGCGTACTTTTTCTATGGAGGGCCAGAGAGTAAATCTCTTTGGTTTTGTGGGCCACATGCTTTCTGTCACAGCTACTCAACTCTTGCTCTAACAGGAAAGCAGCCACAGACAATATGGAAGCTGACGAGTTCCAACAAAACTCTATTTATAGAAACAGATGGGGGCCCAGATTTGGTCTGTGGGTCATAGCTGGCCAACCCTGCTTTATGTAGTCACTGGTGTCTGAGAGTAGAGTATCAGCCACCTGGGGATTGGAGTCCACGGGCGTGCCAGGATAAAGTTCCATTTCTTTCCCATGAGGGGAGTGTGCGAGCATGCAGAACTCTACACAGCCATCCTGGTGGGTATGAGAGCCCATCCCGATGCTGAGCACCCTTCCAGAGCCAGGGTCTGGACTTCAGCCTTGTGTTAAGTTCTTTGTGAATGCACTGGGTGGATAGTGAGACCCCAACATCCATTGCTGATGAACATTGGCTTTTTCAAATGGTCTAATTCTAGGAAATCTGCAACTATGAAGACAAGCAAAGACACTCTAGGGACAAAGTTGGAAATTGGAAATGAAAACTATGGCTACCATTCAGATGAGCCAAGGACCATACATGAGTGGCTGGGTTTGGACACCGGTAAGATCCGGAAGGGAGAGTGTCAGAGGAGGACCTGGCCCACCGAACACCAGATCGGCATCTGCTTAGCTGTTGGCGGTCATTATTTGGGGTGTAATTTTTAGAAGAAGTCATTCCAGAACTAGAAATAGTCTAGGAGACAATAACAGTAAAAATCCACCTATTTATCTAAAGTTAAAAGGAATTAAGGTGAAAATTTGTTTTTAAAAATAATTTTTTTTCAACATTTTCATTTTTTTAAAAAAATTCTTCTACCTTAAAGTGTGTGAGGAGGCATTTTAATACACTGAGGGTAACTTCCCCCAAACTTCAGTTAAATCTGAAACTCAGCAAGAAATCTTTCCTTTTCAATTTGACAGTCATCATAATGGGTTGTCTTTGAAGCCACTGTCACTAGTGAAGGACAGGTAGGATTTGAACCAAGATCCTTTTCAAGGAAGTTGAGAGAAAGACTGTATAAATTACCCCTGGCCCTAACAATTTGCTGGCAAAAGTTGGAGACTGGCTCTAACAATTTGCCGGCAAAACAAATTCCACAGGAAGATTTTTGGTTAATCGATTCTTGCAGAGATGCTCAAAACTGTTTTCTCCACTGAGACTGGGACTCTATGCTTGGTAGCCCTGTTCTTCGCATTCTTTTGTGTCTCCCTCCTATGTACATTCCCAATTGTATGCTTGAGATTCAAAGGAATATCACCAAGCATGGACAATTTCCTCTAACAATCCCATCATAGTCTCTTGCAAAATTTCTTGTGATAGAATATTTTTTCATTAGTAGTTAGAGTGATGAATCAAGTCGCTTGACCAAAATTGTGGCCCAAACTGAATCTCTCTGGCTCCTTTTCCCTACTGTGTCTATTTCCCTCCATCAGCCATTAAAGCGATGGATTTGTCTTGTTTCTGAATGAGACTAACCTCTCAAGAAAGGAATCAATTTTGAGTCCTTTTGCTATATTTTTATTTCACTAGAAAGATAAATCTCTAAAAGTACGTCCCATCAAGTAAACTTTAAAAAAGCCATTTGTGGTTAGGAATGATTGATGCCAGGGGTGCTACATTAAAGTATTTCTTTATGCGTCAGAGTGGTTAGAATAGGCAGTGGGGTTTGGGTCACTTCTGACTCTAAAAACATCTTTCTGTTGCAGAGCCAGCTTCCCTCCATGACAAGTCCTCTGAAGCCAGTGTTCCAGAACAACGCAGCGGTAGGCAACCTCATCAGGTGATTCAGACTTTCTCCCCCTTTTGGACATTTTTTTTTTTTTTTGGGCCATTAAACATCCTTGCCTCACAGCAGGTGATTATGTTATGTTCATGATGGACAGATGTGGCATTTGCCCACCTCTGAGTCAACGGGACAGTGTTGGGAAACAGGGCCAGAACATGTAGTATCTCTCCCTGTGGAGCAGGTTTTTTGGGAAAAGACCAAAAGTGTAATTGGTGACTGGTAATATTGAGGAGTCTGTTAGATGTCCACACAGAGATGTGGGATGTGCAGATGGTTGTGTGAGCCTGGGGCACCAGGAAGAGCATGATTTTTTTTTTTAATTTTATTTTTCTCATATGTTTTTTAAAAATTAATTTATTTTAATTGGAGGATAATTACTTTACAATATTGTGATGGTTTTGGCATACATCGACATGAATCAGCCACTAGTACATATGTGTCTCCCCATCTTGAACTCCCTCCCTGCTCCCTCCCCACCCTATCTCTCTGGGTTGTCCCAGAGCACCAGCTTTGAGTGCGCTGCTTCATGCGTCAAACTTGCACTGGTCATCTATTTTGCATATAGTAATATACATGTTTCAATACTGTTCTCTCAAATCATCCCACCCTCGCCTTCCCCCCACAGAGTCCAAAAGTATGTTCTCCTTTGCTGCCTTGCATATAGGATCATTGTTGCCATCTTTCTAAATTCCATATATATGCATTGATATATAGTATTTGTGTTTCTCTTTCTGACTTACTTCACTCTGTATAATTGCTCCAGTTTCATCCACCTCATTAGAACTGACCCAGACTTGTTCCTTTTTATAGCTGAGTAGTATTCCATTGTGTATATGTACCACAACTTCATTATCCATTCGTCTGCCAATGGACACCTAGGTTGCTTGCACGTCCTAGCTATTGTAAACAGTGAGGGCAGAGCACAACTGATTGTAGGTATGTCTGGTTGCTAGGCAACTGTTGATGGGCACTGCCCTTCCAAGGGACGTTATCATAAGGGAAACCATCCATGAGGAACCGTGGAGACACAGTTTGTCATTTTCTGGCCCTGAGTCAACATTGGTTATCACTCGAATGAATTAGAGTTCATAAGCAGAATACATGGTTCTTTATATCCAAAAATCATATTAAACAAATGTGTACATGTCAATCCTAATCTCCCGATTCCTCCCACCCCCTCTTCCCTCCTTGGTGTCCATAGGTTGTTCTCTGTATCTGGATTTATATATATATCCTATTGATACTACGTGTAAAATAGACAACTAATGAGAACCTACTGCACAGCTCAGGGAACTCTACCCGGCACTCTGTGATGACCTAAATAGGAAGGAAGTCCAAAAAAGAGGGGGTATATGTACATGTGGGCTTCTCAGGTGGCCCAGTGATAAGAATCTGCCTGCCAATGCAGGAGACACAGGACATATGGGTTTGATCCTTGAGTTGAAAAGATCCCCAGGAGAGGGAAATGGCTACCCACTCCAGTACTCTAGCCTGGGAAATTACAGTCCATGGGACTGCAAAGATTCAGACACAGCTGAGCAACTGAGCACACATGCATATGCATGCGTATGGCTGCTTCACTTTGCTCTACAACCGCAATGAACTCAGCATTGTAAAGCAACTATACCCTAATAAAGATGACTTCAAACAACAAACAAAATGCAAATGTGTGTACAACCAGGACCGTTTTCTAACTTGTGCATCTTCAAAGGAGAAGCACTTAGAGGCGATTCTGCCCAAGTGTCCCCAGTGGGTGTTCTCCTCTGTTAGATTTTGGGAAAGCCAGACTCACAGACTGGGGCTCCGACAGCTTGTGGATCACACAGCCTTAGCTCTGTTTGGCCTCGGAGTTGGTACTTGTGTGAGGCGCTGCTGCTGAGTGCGTGCCTTCGAAGCCCCATCCTTCTATCCTGGCGTGGATGTTCACTTCAGCTTCCAGCTGGCTGCCGGCTGTAATATCCCTCCCTGCAGTTGGGACCCAGCTCCGTACGTACATCTTGCCAGAGACATGTGCCTCCCAAGCCTGTGCAGGGAAGGGGACCTTGATAGATGCTCAGCCCCATATCGAGAGGAGCTAAATGATGCTGTTAGCAGCAACCAAGGTAGCCAGGCAGGAAGATGTATGAGGGGTTCGAGGCACAGAAGCAGATGGATCTGCGTGACAAATTATGAGCTTCTGGTATGAGTTTGAGCTACTGCCTCAGGCTGGGTGGCAGAGAATAGAGAGGTAAAACTCTTCCCATCAAGCTGCTCCTGTGGGCACATGTATCTTTTGGTTGTAGCAACGCAACAGTTTCCCCTTCCAAAGGCCAGTCTCTTGACTTAAGAGGTGGTGGGTGAAAGGGAGCAATTGCCAGGCTGTGATGGGCCTTTCCTGTCCAGACCCCATGACTGGACCTGAGTGGGCACTGCATGCCGATGAAGGGGCTCTCCCCCGGTGTCAAGCATGGTCACCCCAAGGACACATTTAAGCCAGTCATTACTTCAGTGGCCTTTCTGGGGTTACACAGCATGTGTCTTTCCACCAGAGAAGTCGCAGTGCTCAGGTCTGGGTTGGACGACGGGGCAGGGAGGAGGAGATACAGAAGGGGGTCATGTCCCATGTCCCTGATATAAAGGAGGAGAAAGGGGGACTACGGATGTGCTTGTATACAGGAGGATGGCATTCGGAGCTCTGAGTGCACACTCAGTTCAAGGTGTTGTTTTGAAAATATACAGGGAGACATTTCATTTAGTTTGTTTTCCAATTTCTCCATCTCTTCCCTTTTTTTTTTTTATGTTCTTTCTCAAGCACAGTAGAAAAGCTTTTTCATACATATATAAATAGTGTGTATAATATATATCTTGGAAAACTTATGAATTTTTTCCTAACTAAAAAATTTATGATATTTCGACTCACTTGTTTGACTTAGTATGAATGAAATGCTAGATTCCAATAAAAAAAAAATAGATGTGCAACAAGCAACAAAGGTTTACTGTATAGTACAGGGAACTAGAGTCAATATCTTATAATAACCTACTAATCAGAAAAATAATATATGTGTATATGTATAACTGAATCACCTTGCTGTGTACCTGAAACATTGTAAGTTAATGGGTCCTTCGATGAAAAATATATATGATGAAGAAAATATACAGGGAGAGAAATTTAGGCTGTTTCTTCTTCTTAAACATGTAACAAGTTGGATAATCTATTGGTTGAATAAGAACAGTGGCCATGGAGGTGCTGGGCCCTGGGGGCTGGTAACACACCCCCACACTTCTTGAAGTGTTTGTAAGGTTTCTAGGCAAGCAGGGCACCTCAGCCAGAGCACCAGGTTTCTTAAGAATCAAAGAGGGTGCAAGGAAGATAAACTATTTTTGCCTGAGCTAGAAACTGACAAAAGATTTTTAAATAGCTGGATTTTTCTAAGCAAGGAAACGTAGGACAAGCACATTTCTGAAAAGGCCCATCTTTGATCCTTAAGCAAAAGGAGCCTTGCAGGCGCGGGTCCAGGCACCGTGTCCTCGTTGCCCATTTGGGAAACCTGGATGTGAGGTGTACCGTGGGTTATGCTTCCCATGAGGCCCTTAAAGGAGGGAAGAATTGTGTTAGTCACTCAGTCGTGTCAGACTCTTTGCGACCCCATGGACTGTAGCCCATCAGGCTCCTCTGTCCATGGAAGTTTCCAGACAATACTGCTGTTCAGTTCAGTTCAGTCGCTCAGTCATGTCTGACTCTTTGCGACCCCATGAACCACAGCATGCCAGGCCTCCCTGTCCAGCACCAACTCCTGGAGTCCACCCAAACCCAAGTGCATTGAGTCGGTAATGCCATCCAACCATCTCATCCTCTGTCGGCCCCTTCTCTTCCTGCCCTCAATCTTTCCCAGCATCAGGGTCTTTTCCAATGAGTCAGCTCTTCACATCAGGTAGCCACAGTATTGGAGTTTCAGCTTCAACATCAGTCCTTCGAATGAACACCCAGGACTGATCTCCTTTAGGATGGACCGGCTAGATCTCTAGACCATTCAGGCAATAATGCTGGAGTGGTAGCTATTCCCTTCTCCAGGAACCTCCCTGGCCTAGGGATCAAATTCTGGTCTCGTGCTTTGCAGGCGATCCTTTAAAACTGAGCCAGCACAGAAGCCCTTAAGGAGGGAACAGACAAGTATCATATGATACCGCAGCCATGTGGAATCTACAAAATGATGCAAATCAACTTGTTTACAAGACAGATTTGCAGACCCCAAAAATGAAACTATGGCTACTAAAGGGGAAAGTGAGAGGAGAGATAAATTAGGAGTTTGGGATTAACAGATACACACCACTCTATATAGATAACTAACAAGGACCTACTGTAGAACACAGGGAACTATATTCAATATTTTGTAATAACCTATGAGGGTAAAACATTTCATGCAAAGATGGGCTCAATAAAGGACAGAAATGGTATGGACCTAACAGAAGCAGAAGATATTAAGAAGAGGTGGCAAGAACACACAGAAGAACTGTACAAAAAAGATCTCCATAACCCAGATAATCACAATGGTGTGATCACTCACTTAGAGTCAGACATCCTGGAATGTGAAGTCAAGTGGGCCTTAGGAAGCGTCACTACAAACAAAGCTAGTGGAGGTGATGGAATTCCAGTTGAGCTATTTCAAATCCTGAAAGGTGATGCTGTGAAAATGCTGCAGTCAATCTGCCAGCAAATTTGGAAAACTCAGCAGTAGCCACAGGACTGGAAAAGGTCAGTTTTCATTCCAATCCCAAAGAAGGGCAATGCCAAAGAAAGCTCAAACTACTGCACAATTGCACTCATCTCACACGCTAGTAAAGTAATGCTCAAAATTCTCCAAGCCAGGCTTCAGCAATATGTGAACCATGAACTTCCAGATGTTCAAGCTGGTTTTAGAAAAGGCAGAGGAACCAGAGATCAAATTTACAACATCCACTGGATCATCGAAAAAGCAAGAGAGTTCCAGAAAAACATCTATTTCTGCTTTATTAAC